TGCTACAATTACCGCACTACAAGAATTGTCAGTCATTGTCATCTGGAGGCGGCGCGATGACGTCACACGCACGGACCTGCAAGTTTATCGGAATGTACAGCTTGTTGCCTTGTCACCACTAGAGGCCGCGCTATCCTATATGTTACGTACCGTGTGGCGGCCATGTTTTTGTAGCCCTGGCACCCTAGTGTCCAGGTGGAGCGGCTTCAGAAAAATGTCTCCTGCAGCAAGGACAGGTGTGACCGGGCGACAGTCCTCGAATGGGCTGTTAAGGAGGTCATTGCTGGAATTGGTAAGACGGGTGTCAGGGGATGCTCTTCATGTCTATTATATCGGGCAACAATGGAACGACAGCTCCCAGCATGCCATGGCCCGTGTAAAGCATTCTGGCACTTGTAAGCCAGTAGTATATCTTAGCAGACCATGCTGAGACTTGCAGTCCCTCAGCAGGGCATGATGGGATAGGTAGTCCATTTATAGGTGGATGCACTGGTACTGCTGGGGTTTGTAGTGTCACTCCAAAGTGTCATTCTTTCTGCAGGACAGTCCCCCATTTACCAAATCACACCACGCCCCGGGCGCAGCGTGTGCCACAAACTACCACCGAACAGACGTTTGGAAGGGGGGCCTGCTGGGACATATAGTGCTCACATCTCTGTATCACAGGACAGGACATTCCTATTTGGGGAAATAATCTACCTGGTCTGTATAAAAAGCGTCACCAGATTGACTCCCTGAACATTCGCAGCTCATTCTCCGTCTAATACCTGACTTATCATTGGCTCATGCTTAGTTTGTACAGCGCCACAGAAGAAGGTGGTGCTATATCCATAGCGGTGACTTGTGACGGTTCTGTACGTTGCCGCCTCCTCTCTGTGTAAAGGTCGCATGTCTGAACCGTGTGACCTCTGTATGTACATGTGACATGTGCTCACCTCTCCCCTAGTCAGGGGCGATGTGTGTAACACAGGTGAAGTCATGTCATCTCCTTCCTGTCTCCTCACACAGGCACCATGCTGTCAAGCCTCGCCAGGATGCTCCGGGGCAGCGTCGCCGTATGCCGCCATGCCGACAGGCTTCAGACCGAGCTTCACTCTTCTGTGAGTACGCATAGTGTTAGTGATGTATTTAACCCCTCAGTGACCAGCTGTGCATTCCCAATAGGGGAGTGTAAGTCAGCAGTGAGTGGTATTAGTGGTAACCCTAACTGTTGTAACTACAAAAGCCTGCGCACCTTCGGGAGCGCGTATAAACTACCACACCGAAAATTGTCCATAGGAGACGCTTTAAACGCTTTTACCGCTCATCAGTTTTTTTAAATTTGTTTATTGGTTGACAACACATACATAACACAGATACAGTCATGAGCATTTCTACATAGGATACAGAGGATACCACAAGGTCACATTTAGTGCTGTTCTATACATCATATTCCAGTAGACGTAGTATATATGGATACATGACCGTTTGGATATCATCAGACATAACAGTTTCATTGTATCGTATATCAGCGTCCGGTGTGCATATAATAAAAGAAAACTTCTGCAACCAATTCAATTTTATTTTGCGTCAATTGTGACATCACTACCTTGGAGAGAGCAGAACGAACCACTTATTGCTATTGTGTTGAATCCAAACTATGAGAAGTAATAACTCAACCTCGTCTAAGGCGAGAGTGCTGGAAGCATAAGCCAATGTGTGTAAAGAAAGAGCAGGGTAAGCAACAGAGGACAGAAGTCCTAGAGCAGTGGTGGCGAACCTCGGCACTCCAGCTGTTTTGGAACTACAAGTCCCATGAGGCATTGCAAGGCTCTGACAGCCACAGACATAACTCCCAGAGGCAGATGCATGTTGGGATTTGTAGCTTTGGAACAGCTGGAGTGCCAAGGTTCGCCACCACTGTCCTAGAGTATAAGTATAGGTGCAGAGGAAAGATAGAATCCTGACTCGCCGCCTGCGTCCCCGTCCAAGGAGGTCTCACTTCCTACGGCATCGGAGAGACGTGGGTCATATCTGAGATGGTCCCTCCAGTCGGTTTGTCCTAGGAAGGCAGATATGCCCTCTGGGTGTGGAGTCTCAAGTGCAATCTGACAGGAGGTCTGCAAATTTGGTCGATTGTTGGAAGTAGATCCAGGGTCCCCAGGTTGTCAAGAACCTCCCTTCAGTGTTTCTAAGGGACATACACCTCAGGTACCTTGGAGAGCCATAACAAGATGGTGGACGGGGTACATTTGTTTCCACAGAAGAGGGATAGCGGCTCTAGCCGATTCTCGTTGCCAACTCTGCAAGAACGATGGGTGGGAGGTGGAGGTGGGTGTGCTGATCAGTTTGTATATAAGGGAGACGGCATGTCGTGTGGGCAAAGTCGGGGTCTCCAGTAACCGGTGTCAGTGGGGAAGGGGCCAATGTGGAGTGCTTGAGCGCCACCGGGGGATTCGGATGGTGGTGGAGATCAAAGGATGGTCCCGTACCGGCAGCGGGATGGGGGATACCGCTCATCAGTTTAATGTTATCAGTAATTGATGGCCCAAAAATTGTTGCTCTCACTCCGACGTTCGCGGTGATATGTAACATGTGCGGCACAATAGGCGCAATCATCGTTTTCGCACGTAAGCGCACCCGACGCATGTTTGTCTGTGTATGTGGGGGCGGGGGACTTAAAGAATTATTTATTTTTTTTAATGATTTTTTCATTTTTTTTTTGTTAGTTAACTTTATTGCTATCACATGGGGGCTAAGAAGCTCCCTATGTGATAGCCAATTTACATGACAGGTCCTCTTTATGGAGACATCAGGGGTCTCCAGGACCCCTAATGTCACCTAGGGAAGCTGATGAAGCAGAGATCTGCTTCACCAACTTGAGAGTGACAGTAGAATGCAGGAAGTGATGTAATATACATCACTTCCTGCATTCGGGGACCGGAGAGGAGATTAGAGGGAGGTCGTGTACAGATCTCCCTTTGATCTCCTGTCACAGAGCCGTGCCAGTCCCGGCCGCACCGGGCACAGCGGATCTCGGAAACGGCAGTGACAGCTGCTGCTAATAAAAGCGATCGCTTGAATGTAAAGCTCCCGTCCGGTTGTTTAATTACAACGAACGGCTGGCCGGGCAGCTACTCGTCCGGCTCCGCCGTTCTCTTGTCACAGACGAGAGAACGAGCAGATTTTTCAAGCCCTTGTGATCACAGTCAGTGGGCAGTGATCACATAACAGAGCAGTGTTGCGTGAGCCTTTTGTAACTATCAGCCTTCCCTTTTGCAGACGGGCCGCTAAACATTTCTGTGATGTTCACAGGTCGCCCACCGCTGTCTGAGCAGCCAACCCAGAGACTACGCTCTGCCCAACTCCACCTGGAGTCACCACACAAAGGAACTCTACGACAAGTTTATGACGCTCAGCAAAGACGGGAGCTGGAAGCCCCTCCCCTCATACAGGAAAACCTTTCAGCACAGCAATGGTAAAACCTAAAATTAGTGTGTGACTGTGGGGAGACATTAGAGTGTAAGCTCCTCTGTACACAGACTGATGTGACTGTGGAGAGACATTAGAGTGTAAGCTCCTCTGTACAGAGACTGATGTGACCGGCTCAGTGTTCTCTGTACAGCACTGTGGCATATGTCAGAGCTATATACATGTATAATAATAGTGTGTGAGTGTGGGGGGGGGGCATTAGAGTGTAAGCTCCTCTGTACAGAGACTGATGTGACCGGCTCAGTGTTCTCTGTACAGCACTGTGGCATATGTCAGAGCTATATACATGTATAATAATAGTGTGTGAGTGTGGGGGGGGGGCATTAGAGTGTAAGCTCCTCTGTACAGAGACTGATGTGACCGGCTCAGTGTTCTCTGTACAGCACTGTGGCATATGTCAGAGCTATATACATGTATAATAATAGTGTGTGAAGTAACCGGTGTCAGTGGGGAAGGGGCCAATGTGGAGTGCTTGAGCGCCACCGGGGGATTCGGATGGTGGTGGAGATCAAAGGATGGTCCCGTACCGGCAGCGGGATGGGGGATACCGCTCATCAGTTTAATGTTATCAGTAATTGATGGCCCAAAAATTGTTGCTCTCACTCCGACGTTCGCGGTGATATGTAACATGTGCGGCACAATAGGCGCAATCATCGTTTTCGCACGTAAGCGCACCCGACGCATGTTTGTCTGTGTATGTGGGGGCGGGGGACTTAAAGAATTATTTATTTTTTTTAATGATTTTTTCATTTTTTTTTTGTTAGTTAACTTTATTGCTATCACATGGGGGCTAAGAAGCTCCCTATGTGATAGCCAATTTACATGACAGGTCCTCTTTATGGAGACATCAGGGGTCTCCAGGACCCCTAATGTCACCTAGGGAAGCTGATGAAGCAGAGATCTGCTTCACCAACTTGAGAGTGACAGTAGAATGCAGGAAGTGATGTAATATACATCACTTCCTGCATTCGGGGACCGGAGAGGAGATTAGAGGGAGGTCGTGTACAGATCTCCCTTTGATCTCCTGTCACAGAGCCGTGCCAGTCCCGGCCGCACCGGGCACAGCGGATCTCGGAAACGGCAGTGACAGCTGCTGCTAATAAAAGCGATCGCTTGAATGTAAAGCTCCCGTCCGGTTGTTTAATTACAACGAACGGCTGGCCGGGCAGCTACTCGTCCGGCTCCGCCGTTCTCTTGTCACAGACGAGAGAACGAGCAGATTTTTCAAGCCCTTGTGATCACAGTCAGTGGGCAGTGATCACATAACAGAGCAGTGTTGCGTGAGCCTTTTGTAACTATCAGCCTTCCCTTTTGCAGACGGGCCGCTAAACATTTCTGTGATGTTCGCAGGTCGCCCACCGCTGTCTGAGCAGCCAACCCAGAGACTACGCTCTGCCCAACTCCACCTGGAGTCACCACACAAAGGAACTCTACGACAAGTTTATGACGCTCAGCAAAGACGGGAGCTGGAAGCCCCTCCCCTCATACAGGAAAACCTTTCAGCACAGCAATGGTAAAACCTAAAATTAGTGTGTGACTGTGGGGAGACATTAGAGTGTAAGCTCCTCTGTACACAGACTGATGTGACTGTGGAGAGACATTAGAGTGTAAGCTCCTCTGTACAGAGACTGATGTGACCGGCTCAGTGTTCTCTGTACAGCACTGTGGCATATGTCAGAGCTATATACATGTATAATAATAGTGTGTGAGTGTGGGGGGGGGGCATTAGAGTGTAAGCTCCTC